CAAACAAACCCAGAAATTAAATACTAGGTAGCAAAGGGAGCGACAGAGTTCTATCACTTTCTACAGGTGATACTTTTCTGAACATTCTAAAATGCAAATGTAATCATGTCTCTCCTCCGTCTAAAACCTTTCCTCAATAGAGCCTACCAGGTGTTATATAAATCTGGCCTCCACCTCATCTAATACACTCCACCATTCATTCTCTCTTTCAAGAGTCAAACCTATTAATACAAGAAGGCCGTGCTGGCCTTCCTTCTGGCCTCAGGGCATTTTCCCTCATTTCCATTCTTCCTTTACCTAAACAACTTCAACTTCTAATTCTGTAAATAGGAATTTCTGCTTCATGGAAGATGGCTTAACCATATTGTCCCTATTCCTCTTGCTATACAAAACCAAAATCTCTGGGCATTTTATGTAAAACAAGCATAAGAAGATGACGGGAGGTGGAGAGAAAAATGCAGATTGGCTGGGAACTTCTGGACCTAACAACATAGTGGTAAGTTCTCTGGGTTTTCTTTTTGCCTTCTATATTCTAAGTTTGGAGCTAAAGAAGCTGGCAACTAGAAATACCAATGGGCGTAGACAAAATAACACCAATGAAAGCCCACGCTAACCATCCAAAAGACCAATAAATGGATAACCTAGCAAGGCAGAAAACTTTTAGATAACAACCACTCTATTTCAGCCAAGTACCCCAGAAAAAACATAGATCCACTCTCACCAATATGATCAAGATCAAGGTCCAATAGGAAGGCAGGACTTTTATCCTCTTTAGTAGTAATGAGCTCCCTCTTCCACCACAGTGTCAGTAAAGATCCTTTGAAGAGCCTGTCCTTCCACCTGCCCCCCACCCCCACAACCTAGCAGTACAGTAACATGCTACTTAATGATGCAGATACATTCTGAAAAATTTGTCATTAGGTGATTTCATCCTGTGTGAACATCACAAACTGTATTTACACAAACCTAGATAGTAGCCTACTAACACTTAGGCTATAAAGTATAACTCACTGCTCCCAGGCTGTAAGTCTGCACAGTATGGTACTGTACTAAATGACATGAGATTAAATCAAGCACAAGAGAAACTGATGCACTCAAGAGACAGAGTAAAGACCAGATGTATGAGGCTTCTGCTAGCATAAGACAGCATATTGCCTTACAGCAAACTTTTTTAATAAGTAGAAGGAATCCACTCTAAAATACCGATAAAAAGTATCATATAGTAAACACACAAACCAGTAACATAGTCATTTATATTATAAAGTATTATGTACTCTACATAATTGTATGTGCTATACTTTTATATGATTGGTAGCACAGTTGGTTGTAGGTTTACAACATCGCCACAAATACATGAGTAATGCGTTGCATCCTTTGTTGAACCAGTACATCATTATGCAGTGCCCCTACCCTCCCTACTAGGGTAGTATCAATTGAGAGCTAGTGGGGAACCTAGATTTCTACCCTCACTTGCAGCAGCAAGGTAGGGAACCCCCATTCTTTCTCCTGCTTGACTCTATCAAAATAAGGAAGCTAAAACAGAAGGCTTAAATAAGATCCAAAGGAGCAGAGTAGTGCAAAAGAAGCATGCTGGCCCATGAGTAAGAGCCAGAGTCATTGAAAATTACCACATTTTGCTGTGTATAATGTACACTTTTTTGCCCAAATATTTGAGGGGAAAAAAGGGTGTGCACGTTTTTTTGCCCAAATAGTTGAGGGATAAATAAGGGTGTACATTATATGTGAGTAGTGCTAATTCCCTATCTATAAAAATATTTTTAATTCTTTTATTTATGCTTATGCATTAAAAGTGTAACTCTAGCCCTGGCTGGCATAGCTCAGTGGATTGAGCGCGGGCTGCAAACCAAAGTGTCACAGGCTCGATTCCCAGCCAGGGTACATGCCTGGGTTGCAGGCCAGGACCCCCGGTAACCACACATTGATATTTCTCTCTCTCTTTCTCCTTCCCTTCCCTCTCTAAAAATAAATAAATAAAATCTTTAAAAAAAAGGGTAACTCTAGGAAGCAATAATGATATCTGTGTGCAGAATAATACCCTGGAATACAATAATCAGTTTTATATATAAATAAAAAATTGATTTAAAAATTAAAATAAAAGACTTTTTTCCTGAAAGTTTGGTCCAAACTGTGGATGGGAGCTATACACAGTGAAATACGGTAATTGTCAACCAGGTAGATCTCAAACTGAATGGAAAAAAGTTAATCTAGAGGGAGACAGAGAGAGAGGTTAAAATTAACTGTTAGAAGTTCAAAAGTTTTAAAGAAGCTATTGTATAACTGCTTCAATGAACAACTAAGAACATGCTTGAAACAAACGAAAAAATAGAAAATCTCAGTAAAGAAATAGAAGATGTAAATAAAATGAAAATTTTACAGTATAAAAAATATAATAACCAAAATAAAAAAGCTCAAAGGAGGAGAGAGTTCTAGCCAAGATGGAGGCATAGGTAGAAACCCTTTGCTTCCTCACATAACCAAAAGGAGGATAACAACCAATCTAAAATCAATAAAGAACCAAAATCGCCAGAAAATCAAACTGAATGGAACTCTGACAACCAAAGAATTAAAGAAAAGATAAACCAGAACAACCAGCCTGGTAAGGGGGACCTCAAGGGCCAACTCAGAAAAACCACAGCAGAGCAGCCCAGGGGCAGTCAGGGAAATAAAGCCTCAAAGCACCGATCAAGAACACCTGTGAGGGTTGAGGTGCTGGGAGAGACTCCCCGCCTCACAGGAGAGTTCATTGGAGAGACCCACAGGGACCTAGAACGTTCACAAGCCCACCCACAAGGGAAATAGCACCAGAAAGGCCCAGTTTGCTTGGGGGAAGCTACGGAAGGGACTGAAAGCTGACGGAGAGCAAGAGCCAAGGTTCCCTCAGACCCCGCCCCCCACACAACGTCACAACCCAACAAAAGGATTGCCCTGCCCTGGTGAACACCTAAGGCTCCACCCTCATACGTAACAGGCTCAACAAGACAAAAAAAAAAATGGCCCAAATGGAAGAACAGATCAAAGTGCCACAGCAAATACAACTAAGCAACCAAGAGATAGCCAACCTATCAGATGCACAATTCAAAGCACTGGTGATCAAGATGCTCACAGAATTGGTTGAATTTGGTCGCAAATTAGATGAAAAAATGAAGGCTACGCTAAGTGAAATGAAGGAAAATGCACAGGGATCCAATAGTGATGGGAAGAAAACTGGGACTCAAATCAATGGAGTGGACCAGAAGGAAGAAAGAAAGAACCAAACAGAAAAGAAGGAAGAAACAAGGATTCAAAAAAATGAAGAGAGGCTTAGGAACCTCCAGGATATCTTTAAATGTTCTAACATCCAAATTATATGGGTACCAGAGGGGAAGAGGAAGAGCAACAAGTGGAAAAGTTATTTGAACAAATAATAAAGGACAACTTCCCCAATCTGGCAAAGGAAATAGGCTTCCAGGAAGTCCAGGAAGCTCAGAGAGTCCCAAAGAAGGTGGGCCCAAGGAGGAACACACCGAGGCACATCATAATTACATTAGCCAAGGTAAAAATGAAGGAGAGAATCCTAGAAGCAGCAAGAGATAAGGGGACAGTAACCTACAAAGGAGTTCCCATCAAACTGTCAGCAGATTTCTCAAAAGAGACCTTATAGGCAAGAAGGGGCTGGAAAGACGTATTCCAAGTCATGAAAGGCAAGGACCTACATCCAAGATTGCTCTATTCAGCAAAGCTATCATTTAGAATAAAAGGGCAGATAAAGTGCTTTCCAGATAAGGTCAAGTTCAAGGAGTCCATCATCACCAAGCCCTTATTACATGAAATGTTAAAGGGACTTATCTAAGAAAAAGAAGATAAAAAATATGAACAATAAAATGACAACAAACTCACAACGATCAACAGATGAACCTAAAAAAACAGAAAAACAATGAAAACAAAAACTAAGCAAACAACCAGAACAGGAACAGAACCAGAGAAATGGACATCACATAGAGGGAGTTCAGTGGGGAGGGGGAAGGGAGGAATAGGGAGGAAAAGGTACAAGGAAAAGCAGCATAATTAGTAGGCATAAAATAGATGGAGAGAGATAAAAAATGGTATAGGAAACAGGGGACTCAAAGAACTTATATGTATAAATCCATGGACATGAACTAAGGGGGCGGGGGATGCGGGAGGGTTGGGAGGGCAGGGTGGAGGGGTGATAAAGGAGGAAAAATTGGGAAAACTGTAATATCATAATCAATAAAAAATACTTAAAAAAAGGTCAAAGGATAGGGTCAACAGTGAAATGGAGGGGACAGAGGAAAAAGTCAGTGAACTGGAAGAAATTACTCAACCTGAACAACACAGAGAAAAAATGGCTGGGAAAATAAAGAACAGAGTCTCAGGGACCCGTGGGACTAAACTAAAATATCTAGTGTTCATATCACTGGAGTCTCAGGAAAGGAGAAACAGGGCAGGACGGAAAAAGTACTAAGAAAAATTCAGCTAGAAACTTCAAATTTGGCAAAAGACAGAAGCCTAAAGATTAAAGAAGCTAAGAAAACTCCAAACAAGACAAATTCAAAGAAATCCATCGCAAGACACATCATAGTCATATTTCTGAAAAGTAATAGGTTAGGTCTCAGTTAACCCCTAACTATCTTTCAGCACTGTTTAAGTTAGGCTCTCCTAATATGCTATCCCATCGCACACTGGTACGCTTCCTTCATAAGACTCACCACATTTTTAATTACTTGCTCAATGTAATCTCTATTAAGTCATAAATTCCATAAGGGCAGGGATTTGGTCATTGTTACACCATAGCACTTAATGAAGTATCTATCAAATAAAAGTTGCTTAATTAATATTTCATGAACAAGGAATTAATAAATAATTCTTCTTCCAAAAAAATCTCCTCTTAACTACCGATCAATTTTGTCCTTTTCTCAAAACTGTTCCAGAGACTCACCTCTTGATTGGTTGTGACTGCTTCCAGGTTGGCCTGCCCTTACCTTATTAGTTTGTAGAATTCTTGCATGAAATGCAGCTGGCCAGGCATGAAGCAACAAATAAGCATAGGAGCGAATGGCATAAACTGGAGAATACTCCCAAGTCTGAAACCCCTTCCCATAGATGAGGTAGTGTGTCTGAAAGTACAAAACAGGTGAATTCAGGATTACACTGTCCAAAAATCCTTGTTAAAAGGATGCAGGTGAAATTTTAAGCAAAAAATATTAATGAGACAACAGTACACAAAAAAGCTGAAACTCTCAACAAGACTTGCAACTAATGGATAAGAATCAAAATTACACAATATTGAAAAATATTAGGACTTTATAAATTCTACAAGATTATTGTTTGACCAACATTAAAAGTTTGAATTTCACCTTCTACTTATTTTTTAAATACTTTCTAGCCAATACAGTGAGGCTCTAAATCTTATATTTTCCTTAAACCACCTACTTGTTAAACATTAATTTTTTTAATGAAAAATGTGATTAGAAAATTTCACTGCTGAATTTTCTATAATAGGAAGTCAACAGACTTATAAATCTAAATACCAAGAAATAGAATATAAGCACACTATTTAGTAACAATCTTTATTTTAGTAAACATCAGAAGAAATAACTAAGTTGAAAGAACTGGGATTTGAACATAAGAACTGGAACAGAGAGCTACTGTTTTTTCTTTAACGTTCTATAGTAACGGTTAACTTCAAAAACTATCTCAAAGTATTATTTTGATTAAAAATGTTTAAAAGAAATCATAAATTACATCTTTAAAATTTTTTAATTAACTAATTTTTTTCTTCACCTGAGGACTTTTTTTTTCATTGCTTTTAGAGAGAGAGAGGAAGACAGGAAGGGAGGGAAACATCGATGCGAGAGAGAGAAACATCGAATTTAGACAAAAACATTGATTGGTTGCCATCTGCACACACCCGGACCAGGAATACACACCTAGAAGGGGGATGGAACCAAAACCTAGGTATGTACCCTGACTGGGAATTGAACCCGCAACCCTTTGGTTACCAGATGATGCTTCAACCAACCACACAGGCCAGGGCTTCATTGATTTTTTCCTTTTTTTTTTAGAGAGAGAGAAAGGGACAGAGTGTGGGGCAGGGAGAGAAACATTAATTTCTTGTTCCAGTTATTTATTGCATGCATTGGCAGTGGGGAATGAACCCACAACCTTGGCATGTCAGGATGATGCTCTCACAACTGAGCTACCCAACTATAGCTACAAATTACATCTTTTAGTAAAATAACCAAATACCCTATAGCTTTCAGTAGTTACTACTGCTAAATCATCAGCTTAGAATACAAAAGTGAAAGTAATTTTACTAGTAGTTACATTTGTATACAGTATTTATATTTTGGTTGGTAACAAGGTCGCAGGCAGTGAAATCAAGAACAATAAGAACAACAAAAATACCCAAAGAAATCACCTACTGGTTCCCAGTAGTTGAATGTTTCATCACAGTCAGAGATGTTGCTCAGGAGAGCAGCACATAACCTTGCTGAGAGCAAACATTTGAAAGCAGTAGATCCTTCAGGTGCCCAAACTTGTCCTGCTTTGTTCCCAGATAACCTGCTCAGAAGCAAAAAAAAAGAAAAAAAAAGTATGTGTCTGGAAGGACCTACTAACTAGGAGGACTAAAACTAGGCCAAAAAAGACAAGAATGGAAAGGGGCATTGAAACACTGAAGTATTCACCTATAAAAGTCAACAGTTAGTTGTTCTGGGTAGATCAACCTTAACAATCCCTCCCATTTTCTGTTTTTCAAGTTTAAGCTAATTCATACACTTGAGTTCCAGGCATCTATGGCACTCCATTTATCCCACGTCAACTAATCACTCACTTGAAGACCACAAAGCTCTCATCCTGTTTCTTCTTTTTACAAGGCCATGGCTTTCCATGGCTTTATTCATTTGCCTATTTGTTCCAATGTACAGAGGCCTAACATGTGCAAGGTACTGTAATGTCTTCGAAATCCATATGTTGGCAGCTCCTTTAATGCAATCTTAACTTGCAGTTCCTGGGCTTGGGGAGAGAGGTGGTAGCTGGTTCTGGAGGTTGTGGGGCCCTCGACTTAGAGTAAAAAGGGTCAGGACTTCGGGCAGAATGAAGGAAACAGTGGGGGGCAATCGAGAAAAGTATCCTTTTTCCTCCTGCCAGCTCAAACACCAAGATGCCAGACCACGCCTGGGCCAGGAGCCTCACAGACCCGCACCCCAGGGTTTCTGTACAGCAAACGTGGGACCCGAGGTGGGGACTCTAGGACGCTGACACGCTCAGAAGAGCAGAAGGACCTGCGTACACGGGTCGAGATCTCCAGGCAAGAGAGTTGTTCCAGGGGAAGCTCCGCACGGCTCCGCGCGACCCTCCTAGGGGCAGGCCCGCGCCGCCTGCTCGGCCACGCCCCCGCCGCGCCCGCACACCTACTGGGTCCGGGGCTCCGCGCTGCCCGCCTCCCGGCTGCTCAGCAGCTCCCGCAGCTTGTCCGCGGCCCAGCCTGTGTCTCCGCCACTGCTCCCGCTTCCCTTAAGGCGCTGCCTAGCCCCTCGACTCGCCATGGCCAGCGTGGAAGTAAAAGGTAGAATAGGACACTCTACGATTGCCAAGCGGGGAGACGGCTGTGGCTGGCAAACGGTGTCCGCCGAGGGACAAAAGACCTGGACATGCGCAGAAAAGACTAATTTACAGCGCTATGGGGTCAAATGGGGCAAATCCCTGAGTAGAAAAGATATAGGACCTGAGACTACTCTTTACTATCACAGCTAGTCCTACAACATACTTGTAACTTTGGCCTTTCCTCCCTCCAACTCTTTCTTCCTTCACTTTTCAGCATTCTCCACAATCTTACAAAAACCATTCTTCAAGCCCCATTTAAAAGAAAGCACCCATAGAAAGCAGTTAAACTCTACAAGGTGAGTACGTGGAGATATTCAGTTAAAAATCATAGCGCAGCTGTTTACCAAGGGGTAAGTTCTTAAAAGGTCACTGACCACTTGCTCTGTCTGTATTTTGTTAAGAATGATAAGGACATCCTGTAGCTAATTAACTGCTTCAGTGAGATACAGCTGTAACGGCAGAATACAGAGTGAGGGGGGAAAGGTGAAATTCTATGCAGCATATTCAGTCAGACACCCATGGCCTCTGTTGCCATTACAGCATTATGGTAAGCATTTTAACAGATTTTATCCTTTTTAAATTTAATACTCACAACCTGGTTTTATTGAGAAGGAAACTGAGGCCCAAGGTTGCATAGCTAGGAGATGGCGCAGCCATATTCCTACCCAGGTCTAACTCAACCTAGGAGCCATATTCCAACTCAGGACTTAATACAAAGTCCATGCTCACCCAGCCAGATCAAGAGAAAGCCTCTGATTTCATATGGGCATTTTTACACAGGCATCTTCATGATATCATGTCTGTGATTCTCAGGAGTCATTCACCTGCTCCTGACATTCTGCCTACTCCCCCGGTCACAGCTCTGCCCCACCCTATGAAGCTCTGTACCAATAACTAAAACAAGTTTATAGGGGGACTGCTAATATTGACAGGGTCCCAGGCTATGATTTCATACTAAAAATTCTCAAGTATTGAAAATGGCAATTGATCATATTGCTCAATTTCCAAACGCAATTATTACTTACCAGGTTCAGATATCCTGGCCTAGATCTCTCTCATACATCCATCTCCTTTTCAGTTCACTCTAATCCAGGCCCCTCTCTGCCTCTACTGAGGACTACTATTATAGCATCCTTGCATGGATCTCCCATCTCAAATTCATCCTGTGCAACTGTCCGATTAATTTTCAAAAGCACTACTCTTGTGTCACTTCCTTAGTTAAACATCACAATCTTCCTATTGCCTGTCAAATAAAGTACAAACTCCTTATTTTAGCAATCACAGTCTTTCATGAACTAACTCTAGCCCCAACTACTTTTCTAATCTTCTACTACCTTCCTATACATATTTTACATTCCAATTAACTAGCTTGAAAAGTGCCGCAAATGCTCCATTGGCTATACCTCTGCTCATGTATGCCTTCTGTCCGGAATGCATGGCCTTCCTGCCTAACAACCACCCCGCCCCCATAGCACCCCTGCTCTTGTTTTAAGATCCAGCTCAAATGCTGCCTCAGTCATGTATTAGGCACTACTGGAGATGGAAGAAAGCTATAAATCGCTTACCTGCCTTTAATGAGCTTATAGTCTACATGGAGATCTAAGCAATATATGTCTGCATAAAGAGATTCCTTGATTCTTCACTCCCCAAACTTACTCCTATGCCAGTTTTCCCATTTGCTAATGATGCTCTAGTATTACAGTTGCTCAAGTAAAAAACCTAGGGATCCTGCTTGATTCCTTTATTTCTCTAACTCCACACCCTCCACCCATACACAGGTGTTTAATTCATCAGCAAACCCTCCTAATAATTACCCAGTCCAACTTCTTACACACTGGCCCAGGTCACCATTATCTCATTTGCACTATGATAATTGCCTCCTAATTTGTTTCTCTGATTCCATTCTTGCCTTTCTATATATGCTCTTCTCCAGATATAAGAATAAATAAGACAGTTATTTCCTTCACAAAGTTTACGATATAATCCCAATTAGTGAAGCCTATTAACAGAAACATTTACTAAATCACATTGAGTACCCCATTCTTCAGAGTCCTGAGCTGAGCCAATCTCCTAGTGTTCCTTACAGATGTTTACAATAGAAGTCTCCCATATCTAGGGGAGCAAATTTTAGAGTTAATCACAGTTGAGGGATTACTATTGAAGACTAGGGAAAGAGAAGTAACAAAGTGGCACAAGGAACCTGGGCTGTGGAGTCAGATGGATCCAAGTATGAACTCTAAATCTGACACTTATTTAGTTGCATGACTTTAATAAGAGTAGTCAACCAGTGATTAAACATGATAATCATGATGATGATACCAATACTAATTATGGAGCACTTGCAACTTACCCAAACTAATAAACATCTAAAAATCATTCTTGTAAATACATTTGAGAAGAGAAATTGACAGTGAGAAAACATATATGTATATAAAATGCTGTCCAGAAGGTATCCAGCCATGTAAAATGAAAAATAGAGATTTATTGAAGAAGATACAAAATATAAGAAACATTGTATATAGGACAATGACACCTCAGTCTCCCCAAAATAGGCACCTTGGGACTTCACATAATTCTCCCAATCACCGTCAGCTGCCCTCTCATATTTTCCTGAATCTCATTGATGGTCTGAAATCTCTTCCCTTGCAAAGGTGATTTTACTTTTGGGAAAAGCTGCAAGTTGCATGGCATGAAGTCTGGGCTACAGAGGGGCTGAATCACCTGGGTGATTTGATGTTTCACCAAAAAACTCTGCATGAGACATGATGTATGAGTGGGCTCATTGTGGTGATGAAGCTGCCAATCACCAGTTGCCCATAGCTGCAGCCTTCTGAATCATCCAAATGGTTTCCACAGAGTAATATTCAAGCTTAATGCAAAGTCTAGTGCAGGTTCATTGCTGTACTCACTCAGTCATTTGGAGTGCAACAACCACACAGTACACTTGCTCATTCAATGGCATCTACCACTCCCACTGATGAGTACAGTGAAGTTGTCATTGTTCACGCATGCACATTCTAGTCCACTCTCTTTGGCTGCCAGATTACATCTATATCATGCAAACCATTCTCATTATAGTAACAATGGCTGGACTTTTTCCGGACAGATTAATATATAGGTATTTGATAAGACACTCAAGTTCTATTGCCTCTTTAGCAATAGAGCATCTATAGTACATGATGATACTTTGTTTTCCTAGCCATTTCTCAGGATCAAAACATTGCACAACTCCATATGTTACCAATCACATTATAGTCTGTAAGTTGAAGTAATCAAGTCACAGGTATCTTTAAAGTCAAAAGTCACAAGGTAAAAGATTTTACCAAAAAAAAAAAAAAGCAGTCCAGAAAGGACTCCCAGTTATAGATTTTTTATCCCACACCCATGAAGATCACATTGCAGAAATGAATTTACTACACTATCGAGGTGTTACATGTAGGCGTTGTTGAATCTCTTTTCTAAACTGGGACTGCATTGATGCTACCTGCTGTTGAGTAAGGGCCTTGTCACAGGTCTTGTAGGTCAGTCTATAGCAGAGACTGACCTGTTCAGTCTCAGGATGCTGAAAACGACTAAGGAATTGTATGGATATGACAGTGTCCTGGGACACTGCTCGGGCCACAGTGTGAAACTCTAGTTCATCAAATCCTTTCTTCTCATCTAACCAAAAACTAATATCATGCACATAGCTCGGAGGATATAGAGAATAGCTTTTAAAGGGTTCTATTTTTCCAGGGACAAAATTCTTCAGGAATCGTTTATCAAAGGTCCACAACATCCTCCAGTCAGAGATGCCCCAGACAAGCATGGCTAATAGGTCCAAGTTTATCGACACAAACACAAAACACTGGTCCTTGGAACAGTGTTTTCCAATGCTTGGAACAGATGTGATAACGGACCCAATAATCAGATCCTTGGCACAATCTAGGCCAAAATTATGAGACTTCACATCAATCATATAATCTTTCCCATTTGGTTGAAAGATGAATTCTACTAAACTGCTCCGTTTAGAGCCCTCCAGCAATGTCTGAGTCAGAAGGCTATCTAGAATGCCCTTCAGGTGGTCCAGTAGTGACTGAAGACAGCCATCCTTCAGAGTTTGATTAAACCCAAGGATAAATAAAGTCTCGTGAAATGCTGGCATTGTGAAAGGCGAGATGTGGCACTTCTGAAAGACAGGTCCACTAAGGATGTGTAAAGAACCTGGGAGGAAGTCTGGTGCTTGGATGACAGCCTGACCATGCACTAGGAGAGAAGGTCTAAGCCACATCTTGGCTTGGCCACAGATTCCTTCACGAACTTCTTCCTTACCATTTCTTCCAGGGCTCTTGGGAAGGCTAAGTTCTGAAAATGACACTAGAAAGTCCTCCATGTCTTGTGGTGTCCCACCTGTCAGGGGCTCAGAATTTGAGTTCTCTTCAAGATTAATCCAAAAGGTGGCTGATAGAATGTCACAGTTCCAGGAAGTGAGAACACTGGTTTCTTCCTCTGGTAGCAAAGGGAAGGAACACTTCAGCCTTTTTAGAGGGAAAGCTTTGCCCAATTCAGTAATCAGTTTGTCGTTGATGGTTTTGATAGGATGATGGGAAGATGCTTCTAGGAAACCCCTGTTTAAACACAAAAACAAAATAACCTTTCTAATTTCAATAATTATAATGTAGTTAGAATTAAAAGTACAGATAACTGAATAGGAAAGAATTATCCTTAAGTTGATCCTGAAAGGAAACAAAGAAATTGCCCACCAAAAACAGAGATAGCATGTGTTTCAGAACTCTGACAACCATCATCCCTAGAACATACCAGAAAATTTTTAATTCTAAAGAGGCTTACATAGGCCAGACTGAGAAGTATTCAGAGTACCAACATCATTAACAGTATGCATAACATCTATTTAATATATGGTTGCCATCAAGCCAATCAGGATACGACTAGAGATAGAAGTGATTTCTAGTAAAACAGCAGTTACCTATTCAACTTTCCTACAAGTGCTTCTGGTTCTGGAAAGGAAAACCACTGGTCACCCAGTTTGATCCTGAAGATTCTTGGTTGCAAACCTTCAAAGGGTAAGCTCCGGGTGAAGACATGGTTCAAAGCACCTTCTACTTGGAAGGATTTATTTTGACTCCTGGCAAAATAGACACCAAATATGAAGTCTGTCATTGTTAAAGAAAGTCTTTCTGAGACTGATCAGGAAATTGGCAAGGAAAAAGTTTGCCTATGAGATTTTTTTTTATCATTAGTGAGAGATGAAAAGGCTTAGACCTCTGTTATTACTTACCTATATCCAGTGCACTTGTACCCTGGCACAGCCTCACAGCTGAAGGAATGCACATCACTTAAAATGAATCCTCCCAGAGCTGCCATGGCAACCACTTGCCAACTGTTGTGCCATTCTCTTGTGGGATTATCAGCAGGAGTCCCACCTTGTCCTCTACACAATGCTACGTGTACTTCTCCTTCTTCTGCAAGAACATCTGCACAGCTAATGGAGGGGGGTTGGAGGACACCAGCCATTTATCAGAAACAAGTAGAAATTACCACAGAAGTTAGATACATATACATTGTTTGGCTTTGAAATAATTGACACCCAATCATACCCATTGGCAAAGGTCTATTAGACTTCAAACATGCAAGAAAGTAGTTAGAATTAAGTAAGAATGTAAATTTAATGTTCAGCTCATAACCGACACTAGCAGCTGACCATGGCGTTATCCAGCTTGGTATCTGCAATGTTTACCTACATGTCATAGAAAGGTCAATGTCTGCAAAATTCCTATACAGTATTCACTGATCAGGCTATTCTTCCCTGTGGAGAAAGTTGTTCTTTTCACTCCCTTCCTGCCTGTTAAAATTCTATACTTCAAATGCTAATTTAAAATACTGACTCTGTGAAGTTTGTTAACTGTGACCTAAAGAGACCTCTGATTGTATTACATATTTTGGTATAATAGTGTAGAGCAGAGATTTTCAACCTTTCTCATCTTGTGGCACACATAAACTAATTACTAAAATTCTGTGGCACACCAAATTTTTTTGCTGATCTGACAAAAATAGGTATGATTTTGATTAATTCACACCTGATGGCTACTGTTGTGTTGGCTGATGTCATTTTTTTATTTGACAGTCTAAAGGACAGGAGGTCAGTGCCCCTGACTAAATAGTGAAGTATTGCATGTTTTAAAAATTCTTCTGGCATACCGGTTGAAAATAGCTGGTGTAAAGCACTGTGATAAATTTTAGATAATTTTATGAGATAGTTAATATAAATACCTTCAGTTTATAGATGAGGAAGCAAAAAAGGATTAAGTAAGCTTACCTAAAATCATGCAACTATTAAGTAGTAGGTGTGGCTTTGAATCCAGGTAGTTTGGCTCCTAAATCCATGCTCTTCACCATTAGACTATACTGGCTTCCATTATTATGCATTATTAAAAATAGTGATCATCCCTTTACATGCCAAAAAGCACATTCTTTGTACTTTTATTTACTATTTACGGTTATAAGTCTGCCTTTCCAACAAGACTGTGTGTTCTTTTGGAGCTTTATATTACCTCTAAACTTACGGTAATTTACACACGTATGCCTAATTCCCCAAACTGTTTTAGTGCATTATGTAATGTACATCTTAAACATTTTAGTTATGAGTGCTCTTCTTTCCTCACCTCTGGAAAAATTTGAAAAGCAGTTCCCTGTTCCTAGCCACCCCAGCTTTGCGTCCACAGTGCGGAAAGTTAAAACAAATTTGATCGAACTCCCTGTCGTGCAGTTCAAAGGCATCTGCGAGCTGAGTACAGTCCACACCAAAAAGTATCTTGGTACCTGAAATATAGACAGGAGGATGTCTTAACAGAGAACCAGAGAAAACCCTTTCCTAACCTGGACCGTGCGAAACAACTCTGGTCTAGGCACGGGAGCGCGCTTTCTGTAAAGGTTCGGGGGATTTCCAAAAGCAATCCTCACACTACTTGAATCCCCAAGTTCCCACCCTTCCCACTTGGGGCTGCGCCAGCCCCTGGGTGGGGCTTGGAGGAGGGGTCGACTTAGCTACCTCGCAGGCGCAGGCGACGCAGATTCTCCCAGGCCACCGGATCCCGGGCAAAGTCGGCCGGGAGCTGGAGGCAGGTGGCGGTCAGACTTGTGCTGGGATCCAGGGTCTCGCTTATTGCGGCAGCGAAGGAGAAATTCCCCTCCCCAACCAACAGGAGGCGCCGAGGTGCCATAGCCCCAATCTACTCCCCGCTCGCATTTTCCGAAGCGCTAACTTTTGACGTCACTTCCTTCGCGGGTCTCTTGCGGCTTCCTCCTCACCCGTCGCCTGTTGATGGCGCAACACAGCGCCTGGAGGCGTTGACAACGTAGTACAGCAACAGCCGGGGAGGAAAATAGCAATGAGTAGAACGCGAGAGGCCGACCGCGCCGTATGTCACCCCATCAGCACCCCTTCGGAAGTGTCAAAATAAAGGCCTCTTAGCCCGAGGGTGGCCTTGAGCGACTTCACACCTGCATGAAGTCACAAGCAGTCAGTAACACGGAAGGGCAGGCCGAGGGTGAGGCGAGTTGTGAGTGATGGAAGCGGGTCCGGGCTCAGGCCAAGGAGAAGTTAGGCTGTGTTTTGTACCTTCCTGTCATAGAGGATTTTGTAAATCGTCGTATCCGAAATGGCTGCTGCCCATTGTCTCTGCTGCTCGGAATTTCTTCAGGTGGTTCTATCTCCTGCCTTTTATTTATTCAAGAAATGGCGCCTCAAATATTGAAATCCCCTTAAGATACTAAAAGAAAAATGGGAAAAAATACGGAGTACTTGTTATGTGCCACTGTGAGGATGGTTAGATAGATATTTAAATGAGCAAGATGGAGCCTATGGTTTCACTGAGCTTGTAGTCTGTCGAAGGATGCACAGCAGCAAAGGCAATTCTGATATAATCAGATGCCATGCTATGAGTGGAGTAATTCAAGGTGCTGTGGGAGAACTGTGGGGTCGTGCTGGACATGGCTCCTCCAATCCCCCAGAAGGGAAGGCTGGCCCGAGGGCCCCTGGCCAGAAGGAATGTGCATTCCTTTAGAAATAGATTGTAATTCCCTCCTTACCTCTTTTTGGGAGTGGCCTCTTGTCCTGCTGACTGCTTTTCGACCTTTTCTCTTTGCACATACACAGTGAGGTAATGCAGTTTAGAGTCGTGCAAGACACGTGTCCCCTTGTCCCCTTTGTCTGGGACTCAGGGAGGTGTGGTCCTGCTGCACAGACCTGCCGCCATTGGTGCTCCCTGTAATGTGAGTAATAAAGGCTATGTCTGCTCCATCCAGCCGTCCTTGTGGTTTTTGAAGGAGCAGGTGCCCCCAGGTCGCCCTTCTGCATTACAGGCACACAGAAGGGAAATCTTGCTATTTTGGGAGGTGAGGGGGTGGAGAAGTGAAAAATTTCCTGGAGTTGAAACTTGAGTTGAAAGCTGAGGGGGAAAAGTACACCAAAGGATCAAGAGGAGTGAAGAGGCAAAAGGAACAACATATGCCAAAGAATGATGGAGAAAACGAACTGCTGTTTGGCTGAAATGTACTTGGAGGGGAGCGTGGGTAACATGTGAGACTGAAAAATGAAGCAAGGGTTGGGTCATCAAGAGCATTATAACCATTGTAACAGCCTGAATCTTACTCTGAAACAGTGGCCAGATCCTAAAACATTTTAAATCTGTAGGAAAAGGACACACTTAGATTTTCATTTTTGAAAGTCCTGCTTTTTTTGTGGAGAAGGACTTGAGAAGAACTAGGCTGATGGCAGGGAGATCCGATAGCATCCAGGGCTGATAGTGGTCTGAATTGGAATTTGGCAGTGGAATGGAGAGTAGTGGGCTGATTAAAAAATGAACAAGACCTAGTGATTGGATGGGTATAAAAGGTTGAAAGAGAAATCAGTGTCCAAGATAAGCCCCAGGTCCCAGGAGTAGACAACAGAGTGGTTGGTGGTATCCATCCTATAGCCCCAGAACAGTATCGCCTTGGTCTGCAGTCTGAATACTAAGCCTGTTGGACTTTGGGACCAGCTACTCTTCAGTCATCATGCTGTTTGTTGACATCAGTGCATGCATCTATCTTCACAAAGGCAGATGGTATGAGGACAGTTACCTTTAAACCTACAGTATTGGCTTTGTCCCTACCTGTGGAAAGGTGGGTGAGTGGTGACTCCCAAATCATGGCCACCTGGTCATGGTGATTTGGGTGATGTACATTTCTTTCTTTGCTCGGAGAATTGAGGACCAGATTTGGCGACATCTCTTCTTTTAAAGAACATGGACTGGAAGTGGAAGGCTTTCTGTCACTTTCCTATAGAATCTACAAACAACAAAAGTTACTTGGCCTCAGATTACTCTTCTTTGGGGAAGGTATTGTCCTGCTCCTAAGCCAAGGAACCAGACTCTTTTTAAAATTATTATTTTAATCTTTACCCAAGAATATTATTGATTTTGGTGGGGGGTTGGGGGAGGAGAGAGAGAGAACAAGAGAAACATTGATGTGAAAGAAACATCGATTGGTTACCTCCTGTATGTTTTTTGGGATCAATCGGGGATCAAACTTACAACCTTTTTGGCATACAGGATAATGCTCCAACCAACTGAGCACCTGACCATGGCCAGGTGCTCAGTTGGTTGCTCATCGTTCTCTCTCTTTTTTGTCAATAATAAAAATGGGTAGCCTTTGATTTCCTACAAAACTGAAATTCAGACATTGGTCATCTGGTATGTTCAAAGAACTGTTGTTTGATAGGGCAGGCAGAAGGAGAGGGTGTTGGAATGAGTAAGACACAGATCCTGTCCTTGGGATTCTACAGTTAAGGGATTCCACATGTACTTCAAGAACTCCTGACACATGGTAGAAATCATAAATATAGAAAGATACAAACAAGCACTATGTGAGACAAGTAAGGAAAGGCATATGGAATAAGTGGCATTTGAACTGGGCCTAGAAGGAAGGAAACTAATTTATTGCTATCTAGTTTTCAAGTTCTCACTTGTCCCTATTATCTTTGTAGCAATACTTTTAGTTCTTAAATCCCCATATCTCAAAATGACCTGAACATTTAGCTAGTATGTAGTATTGGGGGTACTAAAGTTTTTCTATCTTTTCAAGGGGGAGCATGATCTCTATAGTCATTCATTACTGCTGAATGAGAGGATAGCTCAAAGGACTTGTGGACCTGGAGAAAAAGAAACAGAATGACAATTAATTTGTGATGAGAGTCTAGATTTTTAGTAAGGTGTGCTTCTATTGTGCTTGGCCAAGGGTAAAAAAGGGATGCCTTTTCTGCTCTCTGATTTGTGTAACAAGCTTATCTATTCTCACCTTTTCCCAGAGACAGTTCCTCACCTGTTTCCTTACAAACCCACACTATGGCAGCCTCATTAATGCAGATGGCCATGCTGAAGTGTGGACAGATTGGAATGATATGTCCAAGTTTTTCCAGTATGGATGGAGATGCACCACTAATGAGAATGCCTATTCAAACCATACCCTGATGGGCAACTGGAACCAAGAAAAATATGACCTGAGGAATATCGTGCAGCCCAAACCTTTGCCTTCCCAGGTAATCGTAACTTTCTCTGTTTCCTTCTGTTAGCAAAACAAATACCAGTGGCCATTTGACAGGCAGTCATTTGATAACTTCTAATGCTGAAATCTCTCATGCTTCAGTGAAGTGGTTTGGGGAGGGAAGCAGTTCCTTAGCTGGAATACTTATTCCACTTTACTATCAAATTGAATATTGTACTATTGTAAGGTAATAAAAAGATGGGTAATATTCTTTCTCTTGCTTCTGTGAGAACTTTATTCACCTACAAAAATATATAATGTCTTCTGACTCAGCCAAGCTCTTCCCCAGTCCTTGCCCTTATAGCTCTCCTAAGCACACAAACATATAAAGATTATGAAAATTGGTAGGATATCAAGTAATGCATATAGACCTCTAGTTAATCTAAAATATGACAGAGACTGTTAGAATTCATGTCACTTTGTCCTTTATTTCCCAGTATTGGTTATAGACTCCTATATTTTTAATCTATTACTTTTTCTTTCCAGTTTGGACACTACTTTGAAACAACATATGATACCAGCTACAATAAAAAAATGCCACTTTCAACCCATAGTAGGTGGACTATTCTTTTTAATTCTTATAGTCTCAGGGCCTAGTTCAGGGCCTGGAATGTAAAAGGAACTCAAATAAAAGTAAACTGAATAAGTGAATAAGTGAATGAATGTGTGAATAATGTCTTCTCTCTTCTGAATTTTGACAAGACTCACTCTATATTCCCTTAGAAGTAAGAATGAAATTGGTTACTAAGACTCCTTGCTATTGACTGATTTCTCTTGTGTTTCCTTCTCTTTTCTCTTCCCTTAGGATTTAAGCGAGAGCCTCACTGGTTCCCAGGACATCAACCTGAGCTGGATCCTCCTCAATACAAATGCACAGAGAAGTCAACTTATATGAGTAGCTATTCAAAACCTCAAATTGGACATCACTCTGCATGTGTGTATAGTAACTGCCCATTTCAGGGTCTAGGAGTCTAAGAAAAAATAAGAAGCTTCATTTTCCACAGTAGAATACAGGAGGGACCATGTTCTAAGCACACCTAAGAATTTAGCAGACTATGGCATAGTTTCACTCTCTGAATAAATAAAGCACAAAAAATGTTCTCTACCCTCTTTTAGCCAAGATTTGAACATCAAATTTAAGTTGATTACATCTATTATTTATACCTTAGGGGTGCTGTAGAAGGGCAATAAAAATATCATTTCTCTCAAATCTACAACCAGTTTGCTCTTCCTTGTCTTCCATCAGGAGCAAAATTCAGTAAAACTTAGGTTACATTTGGCTAGATGCTCTCTGGGTATGAGTCTGGTAGACATGGTCACATAATTTAACTTTAATATGATCTTAATGAACATTCCTCTTAAGGACTAGAAAAAGAAAAATAATTTTTATTATGAAGAACTTAAAACATAAAAAGTAGAATGTTATAACGATTTTCCATCTTTAAGGATTTATGACCAATTTTACTACCCTTACTTTTTTTTAATTAATTTTGGAGCAAATCTCAGAAATTATATGATTTTATCTATAAATATTTCCATTTATATTTCAAAAATATATAGTTGTCAATTTTTGCTCCCCATAAACATTACCATAGGAACTTGTTGATCAAACGAAGCTGAGTTATTAAACCTATAGCAAGGTAGAACATCAACTTGACGGTCTTAGTAATGATTGGAAATGAGAATATTTGGGTAAGTTATCCTCAGGAATCTGGGATAAGGGGTCATTTGGTTCAACTTTAAGAAGGGTCTTTGTAAGTAGGAAACTTGTAGGCATTGAGAAAAGTCTGTGATTAGTTTAGAGTTTATGAACCCATAGAGGCAACAGTCTTAATTTTAAAATGACTAAACTTAGGGAAATCCAAGATGGCTGTGGAGGAGGTGGAAGCTACACTCACTTCCTTCCAGGACGAAACTGGAAGTACAACTAAAATATAGAATAATCAACCCGAATATTGAACTGAAGACTAGCTGAAGAGAAGTCTTATAACCAAGGATTTTCAGAAGAAGCCACATCAAGACTGGTAGGAAGGTTGGAGGTGGCACAAAGGACTAGACCCACTCCTGTAAGCAGCAACTGAGATTCTGAAGGGACATCTCAGCTGCAGAAGATCCCCCTGAGAAGCAGGGGGTCTCAATCCCAAGCCAGGCTTCCTAGCCCAGAGCACCAGAGCTGAGAAGTGGCCACATAACATCTGGCTGTGCAAACCAGCAGGGATTCTATTTGCCAAGAAGAGGCAGGAGTCCACTAGAGACACAGGCACCCTATTAAAGGGCCAATGCACAAAATCTTGTTCATAGCTACTCATCCTGGACTCTGGCAGAGGGAGGACAGAGAAGACTAGAGTTGCATGAGGAGAGTCTGGGTTTCATAGCTGGAGAGAGAGCTGAAAGGATAACCACCAGGATCCCTGTGCTGAGTTCTCCTGAACTACAGATGTCATCTTTTTTGGCTAGAGCACTCCCCTTCATATGGCATCAGCCTGGGGGAAAGCAATAGACCCACTCCCTGGACCTCCTGCCCCACCCTGTGGGGTGTGTGCACTGCTGAGGAGTCAGGTGCCGAGGCCAGAGCATAGAGGTCTGGGCAAACTCAGGGGGTGTCAGTCACTGAGTTGTGTGGCTTTGGGGCAGGGGCCATTACCGTCACTTTCCTGTGAAACTGCCTGGCTCCACCCCTCATACATCTGCTAGCCCCACTCTCTGAGTTCCTGGCAGCCCCACCCTCCTGACTACCAGTACCTCTTCTCCGCAGAAGTCTGGGAAGAATCTGGCACAGACTGAGTTGGGTGGAACCTGCCACTCAAAGGAGATCCACTAGCCCCATCCTCTTGACTCCTAGTGGTCCCATCTTGCTGAGATAGGGTTCCTGGCAGAACCTGTCACAGACTGAGTAGTGTTACTCTAGGGCAGGGGCTATTTTTCTCTCACACACCTGAACAGTGCAGAGCCCTCTCTTCACACAACCAAATCTTGGTCTGTTTGGGTCTCACCCTGATTACTCCCTGAGACCACACCACACCACAAATGTTTGCAAGCACCCAAACTTGGTGGCAGCTAAACTTGGTATACCCTGGGACATTTTCTGAGTAGTGGCAGACCCAGAGCTGGTACCAAGTTTGAACCTGTATCAATATGGTGAATACCACTTGCCCCAAGCTTGTGAATCACTGAGAACCTACCTCATACAACTCAAGTACTGACAGAGGCTTTTACAATGACTGAGCTAAACAAGCAGTCAACAGGTGAAGGCAGGCAGAGGTGAAACTTGGGGTAGCTTGGGGTAGCTTGGGAATTTTTCTGACTTTTCCCTGGGCCCAGTGTTGGTAAAAGCTGGCCTTGCTGCTCAGCTTGGTCCTTCCTGTGCACACCCAGTCCCAGCAGAGGCAGTTACAAACTGTGGATCACTTTGTAGCTCCAAACAGATTTCCCAGGGAAAGTCAAAGGCAGCATCTGACATTGGTCTGAACCAAAGTCCCTCCCAAGAGGTCCTAGAACCAATACATCCAGTTACAAGCTTCAAACAACATCAGAGCAGGATCCAATTAGCTTCACAAGTATCATATCCAAAGGCAGATCTCAAAAGGCACCAGACCATGTTTACACAAATTCCAATTTGTGTGGTCAGCATCTGCACAGCAGCTCAAACACTGGAGGTATGGGTTGATCCTCAAGTGAGCCAAACTGGGATTAACTCCAGACACAGAGGCCAATAGAAATCAAGATTCAGTCACAAGAGGGCCTACTTAACCCACATAAGGGAAATTTCTGGAGCACCCAGCTAAAGTGATCAAGGAGACTGTGCCACTGGGTTCCAAAGGACACCTACTAAATAAGTCCATATTACCAAAAATTGGAATTCATGGTAGAACTACCTCATACATAGAAACAAACACAAAGAGGCAGCCAAAATGGGAAGACAAAGAAATATACCCCAAATAAAAGAACAGGAGCATTCCCTAGAAAAAGAGCTAAATGAAATGGAGGCAACTGATTTACCAGATATAGAGTTTAAAACATAGTTATAAGAATGCCCAAGGAACTTAGTGAAAACTTCAGTAAAAAAGATAGCAAACATAAAAAAAGAACATAGAAACCATAAAACAAGTCAGGAAAGAAGAATGCAATATCTGAAATGAAGAATACACTAGAAGAAATAAGCAGTTGAAATAAGCAGAGGGTCAAATCATCAATTTGGAAGATAGGATGGCAGAAAACACCCAATCAGAACAGCAAGAAGAAAAAATAATTTTAAAAAGTGAGAATAGTTTAAAGGACTTAGGGACAACATGAAGCCTAACTATCTGTATCATAGTGGTACTAGAACAAGAAGGCAGAAAGCAAGAGATTGAGAACCTATTTCAAGAAATAATGGCTGAAAACTTTTCTAAACTGGTGAAGGAAAAAGACACAAAAGTCCACGAAGCACAGAGAGTCCCAAACAAGATAAAGCCAAAGAGGCTGACACCAAAACACATAAAAATTAAAATCGCAAAGTTTAAACACAAAGAAAGAATCTCAAGGGCAGCAGGAGGACAGTTACCTACAAGGGAGCTTCCATAAGACTATCGAACAATTTCTCAATGGAAACATTTCAAGCCAAAAGGGATTGGCATGAAATATTCACAGTGATGAAATATCACAAGAACCTAAAATCAAGGCTACTATACCAGCAAGTTTATCATTTAAAACTAAAAGAGAAATAAAGAGCTTCCCTGTTGAGAAAAGCTAAAGAAGTTTATCACCAAACCAATATAATAAAAAATGTTAAAGAGTCTTCTTTAAGAAGGAGAAGGAGGAGGAGGAGAAGGAGAAAACAGGAACATCATAAAAAGAATAAAATGTCAATCAATGTATACCAGTCAATAACCACTTTAAATATAAATGGCTTAAGTGCTCCAATTAAAAAAATAAGGTAGCTAGATGAATAAGAAAAGAAGATTCATATATGTGCTGTCTACAAGAGACTCCACTCAGAATGAAAGATACACACAGATTAAAAGTAAAGGGATAGAAAAAAATATTTTATGAAAACCAAAAAGAAAACTAGCTAGGGTAGCAATACTTATATCTGAAAATATAGACTTTAAAACAAAAGCTATAGTAAGAGACAAAGGATACTATGTAATGATGAAAAGAGCACATAACATAGATGCACCCAACATAGAATAACCTAAATATATGAAGCAAATTCTGATGGACATAAAGGGAGAGATTGACAGTAATACAGAAGTTGTAGTAGGGATTTTAACAAATCCCAATCTATCTATCCATTGACATCAGTGGATAGATTTTCCTGACAGGAATTCAATGAAACAGCCCTAAATGACACACTGGATCAGATGGATTTAATTGGTATCTTCAGAGCATCTCACCCAAAGCACCCCAGTGCACAATGAACATTTTCTAGGATAGACAACATGTTAGGACACAACACAAGTCTCAATAAATTCAAGAAGATTGGCTCTGGCTGGTGTGGCTCAGTGGACTGAGTGCCGGCCTGTGAATCAAATGGTTGCAGGTTTAATTCCCAGTCTAGGGCATATGCCTGGGTTGTGGGCCAGGTCCCCAGTAGTGGGTGTGCGAGAGGCAACCACACATTAATGTTTCTCTCCCTCTCCTCTTTCCCTCCCCCTCTCTAAAAATAAATAAAATCTTTAAAAAAATAAGAAGATTGATGCTCTGGCTGATGTGGCTCAGTTGGCTGGAGCATCACCCCATAAAACAAATGGTGTGGGTTCCTGGTCAGAGCAAACACCCAGGTTCGAGTTCAATCCCCAGTTGGGGCACATACAAGAAGGCAACTAATCAGTGTTTTTCTCTCACATCTATGTTTAAATATATTTCTTTCTCTCCTTTCTTCTCTCTCTAAAGGCAATAAAAAAATGTCTTCGGGTTAGGATAAAAAAATTTAACTTTAAGAAGACTGAAATCACATTAAGCATGTTCTCTAACCACAATATGTGAAAGTTGATATTAATCACAAAAAAAAACTGAAAAACACACAGACAAGGAGGCTAAATAACAATATTATATAATAAGATCAAGGAAAAAGATCAAAAGATATCTTCAAACAAATGGAGAAGGGAACACGACAACCCAGCCTATGGGACATATCAAAAGCAGTCCTAAGAGAGAAATTCCTAGCATTAGAATTGTGTCTCAAGAAATAAGAAAAATCTCAAATAATCTAATTTTACAC